TTCATATAGTCAAGCTTCTCAGATCATTTGCTCAGCATACAGATTGAATAAATATGGGGAAAAGATACAACCCTAACACACTCCTTCTTGATTTTAAACCATGCAGTGTTCCCTTGTTCTGTTTGAATGACAGCCTCCTGGTCTATGAACAGGTTCCTCATGAGTATAATCAAGTATTCGGGAATTCCTATTCTTCTCAATGTTATCCACAATTTATTATGATCCACACAATCAAATGCCTTTGCATAGTCAATAAAACACAAGTAAACATCTTGCTGGTATACTTTGCCTTGAGCCAAGATCCATCTGACAGCAGCTATGATATCCCTTGTTCCACGTCCTCTTCTGAATCCGGCTGACACCTCTGGAAGTTCTCAGTCAATATACTCCTGCAACCATCTTTTAATTATCTTCAGTAAGATCTTAACTTGCATGCGATATTAATGATATTGTTTGATAATTTGCACATTCTGTGGGATCACCTTTCTTTGGAATGGGTACAAATATGGATCTCTTCCAGTCACTTGGCCAGGGAGCTGTCTTCCAAATCTCTTGGCATAACCAAGTGAATTCCTCCAGTGGGGCATCCATTTGTTGAAACATCTCAGTGGGTATTCTGTCAATTCCTGGAGCCTTGTTCTTTGCCAGTTCCTTCAGTGCATCTTCAACTTCCTCCTTCAGTACCATTGGTTCTTGATCATATGCCACTTCCTGAAATGGATGAAGAGCTACCATTTCTTTTTGGTACAGTGACTCAGCATATTCCTTCCATCTTCGTTTGATGCTTTCTGCATCATTCAATATTTTGCCCATAGAATCTTTCAATATTGCAACTTGAGCTTTAAATTTTTTTCTCAGTTCTTTCAGCTTGAGACATAACAAGCATGTTCTTTTCTTTTGGTTTTCTAACTCCAAGTCTTTGCACATTTCATTATAGTAATTAGCTTTGTCTGCTCAAGCTGCTCTTTGAAATCTTCTGCTCAGCTCTTTTATCTTGTCATTTCTTCCATTTGCTTTAGCTACTTTCCGCTCAAGAGCAAGTTTCAGAGTCTCTTCTGTCATCCATTTTGGTCTTTCTTCTTTTCTTGTCTTTTTAGTGACCTCTTGCTTTCTTCATGGATGATGTTCTTTATGTCATCCCACAATTCTTCTGGTTTTCGATCACTGGTGTTCAGTACATCAAATCTATTCTTTAGATGGTCTCTAAATTCAGCAGGGATATATTCAAGATCATATTTTGGCTCTCATGGACTTGTTTTAATTGTCTTTAACTTCAAGTTGAACTTGCATATGGCAGTTGATGGTCTGTTCCACAATCAGTGCCTGGCCTGGTTTTGGCTGAAGATACTGAGCTTTTCCATCGCCTCTTGCCACAGATGTAGTCAGTGTGATTCCTGTGTGTTCCATCTGGTGATGTCCATGTGCACAGCCACCATTTGTGTTGTTGAAAAAAAGTATTCGCAGTGAATAAGTCATTAGTCTTGCAAAATTTTATCATGCAATCTCCAGCCTTATTTCTGTCACCAAGGCCAAATTTTCCAACTACCAGTGATTCTTCTTTGTTTCCAACTTTTGCATTCCAGTCACCAGTGATAATTAACACATCCTGGTTGCATGTTTGGGCAATTTCAAACTGCAGAAGTTGATAAAAATCTTCAATTCCTCATCTTTGGCTTTGGTGGTTGGTGCATAAATTTGAATAATAGTCATATTAACTGGTCTTTCTTGTAGGCATATGGATATTATCCTATCACTGACAGCATTGTACTTCAGGATAGATCTTGAAACATCTTTTGTGATGATGAATGCCATGCCATACCTCTTCAAATTGTCATTCCTGGCATAGTAGGTCATATGTTTGTCTGATTCAAAATAGCCAAAACCAGTCCATTTCAGCTCACTAATGCCTAGGATATCAATCTTTATGTGTTCCATTTCCTTTGTGACAACTTCCAATTTCCCTAGACTCATACTTTGTGCATTCCATGTTCTGATTATTAATGGATGTTTGCAGCTGTTTCTCCTCAATTTGAGTCATGCCACGTCAGCAAATGGAGTTCTTGAAAGCTTTACCTTAGCCATATCAGTAAGGCTGGTTCTACTCTGATGCAGCTCTTTCCAAGTCATATTTTGAGAGCCTTCCAATCTAAGTGGTTCATCCTCCTGCTCTGTATTGGACAATGTTTCCAGTCTATTCATAAAATTGGTCAGTAATGTATCAGACAATGTTTCTCTGCTATTCATAAGGTTTTCCCTGGCCAATTCTTTGGACAGTGGATGGCCTCTTCCTTCTCCCTAGTCTGTCTCAGTCTGCAAGCCACGCTAAAACCTGTGCACCATGTGTACCCTGACGGGTTTGAAAGACCAGTGGCACAGCCTCAAGCCTCACTGCAACACACCACCACCGTAGGACAAACCAACAGACAAGTTTGTCTCCCTTAGCTATTCAAAACCTCTCCAACCTCCCCTTACCTGGATCCCTGCCACTGCCTCCTTGTTCTGTCCTGGCCCCCCTGGCCTTTTCTTTCCTTTCTCCCACTTCCCTGCCTTGCCGCTTGTGGGGTGTGGCCTGGGTTCCCTCCCCTTACCTGGATCCCTGCCGCTGCCTCCTCACTCTGCTTCTCGCTTTGTCTCTTAATGAAGGGCAAATCTATGATACTCAGAAGGGCACTTTCTCTGGCAAACCCTGGTGAAATCACCCTTCCCTCCTGGTTTTACCCTCCAACTGCACAAAGGCAGTCATATCATTGGCCTCCATCTGAAAAGGATGCTGAAAACCTGCCCCTCATGACATCCTCCCTTCAACCTGCATGTCGACAATTTTGTTTATGAAAATAGTAATGTATTTGAAATCATTTGCCATTTATAACATTCATTTAAAAATACCATCCCCTCCCTTTTTTAGGCAACTTATTTGGCTTTCAGAGTGAAAACAGCTTCCTAGGAAAATTTTTAGATTTCTATCTACGTTCTTCTTCAGTTTCTCTTCCTGGTTTCTATGCAATTAAGTTATTCAGTCTTGTTTGAATATGCATTTCTGAAGGGAATGTTTATATGGGATAAAACAAGAATGACTGAAATCCTGAAATATCATGAAAGCATTCCTATGCCCACCACACTCCACCAGCGATGAGGAGAAATGAACAGACGGGGCCATGGGTCAGGGCCTTGGAGCACCTCTCAGCAGCAGAGCACTCATGAAGCTGAGATTACAACTCCCTGACACCATTGTTGTTCCAATGTGGGGATGTCCCCAGAACAGGAAACAAGAAAGGTAACACATACCCCTGGGTGGAATTTTCCTTAAATGCCTAACAGATCTTTACAAGATCCCAAAGTCAGAACAGTAGCTGCCTTTAGGAATGGATCACACAGCCCAGCTACTTCTATAAAACCTCTCCCTGGGAGAGGCTAGGACAGATGTTGGATGACACAGCTTCCTGTGGTACGTGTTTAGTGAGGGGTGGTGTGTGTGAGAGCTGTGCAGGGGCTGGCACTGCATGAGAACAAGGGAACAAGTGCGATGTGGGCCAGGGAATGGTGGGGATGGGGCTGAACCGTTCTCCTTGCCTTTATGATGGTCATCTCATCCCGAAGGTTGTCGTATCTCTGCTCCAAGCGTGAATATTCTTTCACGAGGTTCTGGTACCGGGACCGCTCCTCCTCCAGATCTTTCTTCATCAGGAGATTTTCCTTGACAGAGTTCTGGGCAAATTCATCTGGAAAGGAGGCACATGAAGCTGCAGGTTTGCTTCCTGAATGGATTCCCCTCACACGTATTGACTCATGCTTCCTGATTAATCTCTTGCTAAAAGGCTGCCACAATACGCTCATAACCCAGGCACTGGATCAATCTATTAAGCTGCCTCACTTGCTGCCCAGCAAAGGGGAAAGCTCATTACTCTGGTTCAGGTCTTCCAAGAGGCGCACAAAGAGCCACCCTGCTCTTGGGGAAGTAGGGAGAGAGAAGTGGGCAGCACTGGGGAGAGCTCCTCTGGTTAATGAACCAGCCCACGTCTCTCTTCTGAAACTGTCACAGGGACTGCTGGCAGCATCTGTGGAAAACCAAGGTTTTGTCCACAGTTCCTTCCCTTTTCCTGGGTCTTTCGGGTTGTAAGAGTTCAGGGAGAGAGGTTAGGTTGGAGGAGGGAGAAGAGGCAAACAGACAACATGGATTGGTTTTTCTCCAGTCAAAACAAACCGTTCTTATTCATGGACAGGAATACTTTTTTTAAAAAAATAAAAATAAATTTCTTTTAGTTATTTAAAATATATGCAGCAGAACATACACCAGTTTCCCCATGTACAGTTCAAGACATTGATTACATTCTTCAAGCTGTGCAACCATTCTCACCCTGCCTTTCCAAACTGTTCCTCCTCCATTAATATAAACTCACTGCCCTGTAAGCTTCCTACTTAACCTTTCCAGTTGCCATTGTCAACGTGATCCCAGCTAGAGTTTGTTTAAAGAGCAGAATGCTCAAGGCAGCCCTTCTTTACTGATTAGGCTGAACTATTCTTTGGTTTAAAGAAGACTTCAGAGGACATTTTTGGTTTAAGGTTTAAAGATGATCTCAGGGCAACAGTTCCTGAGCCTTCATGGCTCCAGGAAGTCTGGATTCCGTAAGACTCTGAAATTCTACAAAGGAATAATTTTTAAAGGGGAATTTTAAAATGTATTCTATTTTCAACAAGAGTTTATGCTGGGTGGGCCTGAGGTCATTGAGTTCTATTCTCCTGTGGTAGAGGGAAGGAATCAGAGGCTGGGAAGAGGACAGGAATCTGGCTGCAGGTCACGGAGAGCCAGGCAAGAACTTGGATCTGTAGACTCCCACTGCTCCTCACAAGCCAACTAGTAGTAGGGATCGAAGGCAGCCAACAGAGATTGAGCTGGGATCTGACTGATGGCCCTCTCTTGGGCAAACATTAACAGATGACCCACTGGGTAGAAGCAACCATGGCAGGTACTGTGGATGCCAAAGACACAATTTCAAAACAGCAACAAAGGCAGCTCCTGAGGCTTGCTGTTTGTTGAGCACCACAGTAAACATATGACATGCAGTATCTCACTCACTTCCCACAGGAGGCCTCTGAGCTCTGGACTATGACAACCACTTTGCAGATGAAGAAACTGAAGACTGCGCTCGCTCAAGGCCACACAACAGCATATGGTAGAATCATGCTTTGAATCCACGTCTCCCTGACCCTAAATCCCACAAAGTCCCACATAATATATTGCTCAGTATGTGTGCCTCTTACTTTACTAAACTCTTTTTTTTTTTTTTTTTTATTAGGATTTGGGTGAAGATTTACAGAGTAAATTCACTTTTCATACAGCAGTTCACACATACTTTGTCTCATGTCATTGACCAAAATTTACAATGCAGCAGCTCCCCTCCCACTTCCTCCCCATAGTTACCTCCTCCCAGTGTCCATCCCTTCATACTCTTCTGCACCCTGTTACTTTACTAAACTCTTGAGGCCAAATGTCACAGTAGAATCTTAAAGATCACCATTCCTCTTTTCATCTCCCTTTTATTAAAGCCCTTTCACAACTGTGGCATCTTGACTTTAAGTGCACGCTTGCTAGGAGCCTCTTGGGGACATTTGAGGAAAAATAGTGTGGAGAAGAGATCAAAACACAAATCAAGCACTTTGGTACTTGCCTGTAGATTGGCACAGGATTTGGTTGTTAAGCTGTTCTTTCTCATCCTTCAAGAGAGCATTTTCTTCCTCCAGGTCTGCCACTCGCTGAAAGAGACAACAGGGAAACATGGTTTCCCTTGTGATGTTGGCCAAGAGAAAGGCTCCTTTCATGGGGTCTCAATTTCAACTGGTTTTGTTTAAATGCTCATTTAAGAAAACCAAATCAACCCAATCCTTGCATTTTCAGGATAAAACTATAAACTGAAAGAAAATTTCCATTAAAACAAGATGGAGGAGCTCACCACCACTGCTGATGGCCTTCCAATGCCCACAAAAGCTCCATGAAATCTACATCAAGCTTACATGTCTTGTTCACGGACTTGCAAGGATAACGGGCTTTTATGGCCTTGGATTTGGTTACCTGTCTTGGGAAACCATGAGCTCTCAAACCTGACTCTTAAGTAAGCCAGAGGCTCACACTTAACAAATGAGGTCTGGTCTTCTCTCTACTTGTTCTCCCCTGGTCTTGGAAGACCAGCAGGTATGGAACTTGGGAAAGGGAAGGAAACTTGCTATTGACAATCAACTTACCAATCTAGCATTTAGGTCCCCAAAGGAAACATAACGTGAATATTATTGAAAAGAAAATGGCAGAAAAGACAAAAAGGAAAAGAAAAAAGCTAAGTGTTGAAGACAGGGGCAGATTACCCAATAAGCAAGGTAAGCATGGGCTGTAGTTTTCCACCACATCCAAGATTCTCCTTCTAGTTAGGGCCAGCATCTATCGCTCTCCCAATCCCCCAGCACCTTCCTACAGAATCAAAGCCTTTTTTCAAATTCATAATCCCCACAGAGACGGAGTACTCAGTAAGCAAGTAAGCTCTAGCTTACTTACTAATCTGTAGTGAATAATTTCAGTGAAAAACATCTATTCACTACAGATTAGTAAGAAAGCACAAGTAAGCCTATGCTTACCATGCTTAGTAGGTAATCCAACACTGCCATAAACCACTGAATCATGCACTTTAACTGGGTGGACCATATGGTGTGGAACTCATATTCAATAAAGCTGTTAGCAAAATCATTCTGCAATAACCAATCTACTGAGCACAGAGCATTGTACTAGCTGTGGCAAATGAATAGAAGATGAGTAAGATGAGTGAGATGGGCTCCTTGTTTTTGGTCTGCATGACCAGCTTTTCCACAGACAACCAGCAAGACTGTGCTGACACAACAAACAACCTCATTGTCTCTGGTTCAAGGCTTCAGATTCCGGCCACCTTTGGTACCTTTCATGATCCATCCTGGGAGAGGACACTTCCTTACATATGTTGTTGTTGTTGTTATATGCCGTCGAGTCAGACCCGACTTATAGCGACCCCTTCTTGGGTTTCCAAGGCAGTATCACTACGGAAGTAGATTGCTCCATCTTCCTTCTGGGGAGTGGCTGGTGGGTTTGAACCACCAGCCTTCTGGTTAGCAGTCGAGTGCCTTAGCCACTATGCTACCAGAGCTCCCTTACATATGTAGAAAGAGTACAATAATATGACAGATAAAATAACTAGCATGTCCCTAGTAGCAGAGACCAGATGGTGGGATTGCTACCTAGGAGACCACAGCAAAAATAGAGAAGAGATGATCACATGGGGGCCTTAAGATCCACCTGTGCTCCTATGCAAGGGTCTACATTACAACCACTGGTTAAGATCTGAAAGCTCCCTTCCTATGAATGCAGCCTAAGAGCGTGTTACTTCACTGCAACCACCTGTGATTCAAAATCTGAGCCAGGGCTGCAGTTTGGGAGAGCCATGGTTAATGGTATATGCTACAGAAGGCTGCCATTGTTTGTGAGCCTTGTTTCTTCCTGCCATCTCCCCCCGCCAAGGCTCTGGTTCATGAATGCAGGCCTCCGGTGGACTCAGCTGTGTTGCTCTAAGTCATACATCAAAGTGGCATTAGGGGAGATTTGTTTTTCTTCCTCACCTGAACAATTTTGGAGGTCGGTCCACGTTCCTGTTCTTTAGCGAACAGCAGGAAGGGACTGATCCCCCACTCAGCTCCACAGCCCAGCTCATCAAAGAATGCTTCCAAAATCACATTTCCTTAGGTACTGGCCACCCCTGGCCCTCCCGGCCAGCTAGTGCACGGAGAGTTTGTTGGCAGGTGCAATTGGTGACAAACTTCTGTAGTGAAATGGCCTCTCTTTTGTGAGCTGTCAGGGATGCAGGGTACAGTGAGAGATGCTTCAGCAACACGGAACCAGGCAGGTATGGTGCGTTCCTCTGAGCATGATAAATAACACCATCGCCAAGTTTCAGGACTCATTAAACACCACTTAGTGGCTCCTTTTCTTCTTTTCTTGTCTTTTAACTCTTGCAGGCAATATAACTTGGAGTGGTTCTAACTTCTGCAAGGCTGTTTGGACCAACTCATTGAAGCCAATACTGAGGACAAGTCTAGTAACTATCAGGCTAATACTGTCCCTACTAAGTTCAATTAAAAAAACTGCCTTTTATTGGCTTATCTTTGTTGTTAGGTGTCGTCGAGTCAGCTCTGACTCACAGCAACCCCACGTACAACAGAATAAAACACCACCCAGTCCTGTGCCGGTATCACAATCTTTGCTATACCTGAGCCCATCATTGCAGCCACTGTGTCAATCCATCTCGTTGAGGGACTTCCCTTTTACGCTGATCCTCCACTTTACCAAGCATGACATCCTTTTCCAGAGAGTGGTACCTTCTGACAATATGACCAAAGTAGATGAGATGAAGTCTGTCCATTTTTGCTTCCAAGGAGCATTCTGGCTGCACTTCCTGCAGGACAGATTTGTTGTTTTAGCAGTTTGTAGTACTTTCAGTATTCTACGCCAACACCACAACTTAAAAGCATCAACTCTTCTTCAGTCTTCCTTATTCATTGTCCAGCTCTCACATGCATAAGAGGTGACTGAAAATATCACGGCTAGGGTTAGGTGCACCTTAGTCTTCAAGGAGACATCTTTGCTCTTCAGCATTTGAAAGAGGTCTTTTGCTGCAGATTTACCCCATTCAATACATAGTCTGATGTCTTCACTGATGCTTCCACTGGTGTTGATTGTAGAACCAAGTAATATGAAGTCTCTGACAACTTCAATCTCTTCTCCATTTATCTTGATGCTGCTTATTGGTCCAGTTGTGAGGACTTTTGTTTTCTGTATATTGAGGTATAATCCATACTGCAGACTGTAGTCTTCAATCTTCATCAGTAAGTGCTTCAAGTCATCATTACTTCCAGCAAGCAAAGTTGTGTTGTCTGGCTATCGCAGGTTAATGAGTACTCCTCCAATCCTGATACCACATTCTTCTTTATTATTTTAATTGGGCTAAGAACCAGCCCCTGGGAGTGAGTTTTATTCCAGGCCTGAAGTGTATCCCAGGGCCATAGTATTGGGGGTCCCACCAGAGTCCATCCGACCATTAATGCTGGTCATTATTGTGTTTTTGGATTTTGTTCCACATTTTTCCTCCCACTCTATCCAGGATCTCCAGTTTTGATTCTTTCCCTAGTGGTTGGCATTGGTAGCCGGGCACCATCTAGTTCTTCCAGTCTGGAGGTCCATCATGTCCTAGGGCTGATTGCTTCCAAATGTCCTTGGTTTTTTTTTGTACTCTTCTTTGCTTCTGATGAGAGGAGACCATTAGCTGCATGGCCACTTGAAAGCTTAGATGACCACTTGAAAGTTGGTGAGTTGCTACTCACCAACGTTGGTTGTGGAACAAGATTTTTATGTATCTTACTGTGCCAATTGAGTTTGGTGTCCTCTAATACTATAGTCCTGAGTTGGTAGATCCATTGGATCTCTCTTCCACATTCCTCATATAGTCCAGTTTCTCAGATTATTTGCTCAGTATACAGATTGAATAAGTATGGGGAAAGATACAAC